AATAATAATAATAATAATAATAATAATAATATACGTTAATTGAAGCTCCCCCTTAGGGGCTTTTCAGCCACAATGTAGACTAACTAAGCGCTTAAAAATCCCCACTGGCAGGAGGCAGACCAGTGGGCTATTTACAGAGCGCAGCCGAGGAGTTGAACTGGGGGCAACCGAGAACAAATCCAGTGAGTGGCAGGGTGGAGGAATTGAACTCGGGACACCAGATTACAAGTCCAGCACCCTAACCACTCGGCCACGCCGCCTCCCTTTAGAAGTATACTGATTAAAGATTAAAGATTAAAGATCAAAGTACAAGAAATAAGATGTGGAGGCCGCAGCTCAGAGGAGTGAGCGAGCAAAGGCCCGTAGGAAGAGTGCGATCGAGCGGCAAGAACAAGAGGCAGCCAAGAAGAGAAAATTTATCGATGGAAGCGGAGGGCGTATAATTCACATTGACTTTACCACTCCACCAAGCACGTCAACTTCAGAGAGCGTAGAAAAGAGCGAAGCAATGATGCTAGATGAGTGTAACAGACACTGCTTCCCTTGTGTCAACTGCGATAACAGTGAATGTCGAAACACAAACAGAAGAACAGAGTGAAACGAGCACCGCTTCTTGCGTGTCAGCAGTGACAAAACTGGACGTCGAAACACAAACCGAAGAATTTGACCCCCTTCTGAATGCTAGGCCAAGTGGATACAAAGCACCAGATAACTAATTTTTTTGATACGGACGAAAAAGTTCGATTTTAAACCGGACTGCCTTCTTGGGAAATACTCATGGGGGCGTTTGAGTATGTTGCCAAGTACATTATCCGCCGCACACAATCCCTGAACAGATTTCAGGAATCTATCATGGTGCTCATCAAGCTGCGGCTAAACGTTCCCTTTCAAGACCTAGCTTACCGGTTTGTGGTTTCAATATCCACAGTTTTAAGGATCTTTTCATCGTGGATGATGGTGATGGATGCCCGACTGTCTCCCCTGGTTTCTTGGCCAGACAGGGAAAGACTATGGAGGACAATGCCTATGTCCTTTCAGTATGCCTTTGGTAAGCAGGTCACGGTAATAATTGACTGCTTTGAGGTGTTTATTGATAGGCCTACAAACTTACTTGCCAGGGCACAGACTTTTTCTAATTAGAAGCACTATAACACAATAAAAATTCTTATTGGAATTACTCCACAAGGAACTGTCTGTTTTGTGTCTGAGGCTTGGGGTGGCCGCACCTCTGACAAGTACTTGACTGAGAAGTGTGGGTTCTTAGAAAACCTACTTCCTGGTGACATGGCTGATCGGGGATTTACTAGTTGTGATAGCGCTGGGCTGAAACAAGTTAAGTTAGTAATCCCAGCATTTACTAAGGGAAAGTCACAGTTAGATCCTGTAGATGTGGAGCGAAGAACGGGCATTGCAAATGTGAGAATCCATGTCGAGAGAGTTATTGGTTTGTTGAAGCGAAAGTACACCATTCTAGAAGGAACACTGCCTACAGATTTTCTCTCTTCCAACCGCAGAGGAACTCCAGATACTAAGATCCCAATAATAGACCAAATTTTTGTAAGGGTTTGTTCCGCCCTTGTTAATTTATGCCCTCCAATAATTCCTTTTGATTAATCATTTCAGTCGCAAGCTCTTTGAAATACCTGTTTTCTATACTTAGCATATCATTCTTCAACAAGAAAAGGGTAGTTATAGCTCATGAAACGATGATAAAATTTTGAAATTTGAGAGCTGCTTGTTTGCAGGGACAGCTGGTACTCAATTTTTTCCAAGTCCTGCAACATGATAATTCATTGTTACATGCACATCACAATAAAACAGACAGTTCATATTAACAAAGGAAATAATCAGTAAATATGTATTGTCTTTTGACTTTTAACTAATCTTTGCAGTCAGGAGCCCATCAATGTCTCTCAACTCAAACTACTAGACTGAAATGAAGAGACCTTTGTTTGGAACATTTAATATTTTGCAGCATTTGGAAATAATAACCAAAATAAACAAATATTGTTGACCTGAACTTTTCACCTGGTGAGACCCATTTAACACTTGTTGCGTAGTAATTCTGTAAAAATTATACGATGTTCACATACATTAGCCCTGAAGTAAAATGTGTGGTTACAGAAAATATCCATACCTCTAACATGGAAGGTTTTACCATTTTGAACCCTCTCTCCCTCCCTGAAATTCCCAATTAAGCTTCATCATACTTTCACTTATAAATTTTAGATTTTGTAAAACCCTTCCCCTTTGAATTTCCATTGACCTTCCATAGGGTGAGTATGGACATTTTCTGGAACCACACAATATTAATTTGGGAAACTTATAAAAACGTATAGTTTTATTGTTATGCCAAAGAAAAATATCTCACTCCTCCTTAATTAAACAGAATTGGTAAGACTAAAAAACATGGAAACATGCTCATTTTTTCTGCCTTAAAACATGCAACTAAATGTGAACGCATTCCTTGAATGTCAAATGTCACATGGCTTGGATTTATTCAAAAACTATAGACTAGCCAGTCTCCCACCGAGCAAGTCATTTGTCCGGTCTTCTACTTCTTGGGAAATGGCATCATGGTAGAGGCTGTCATAGAGATTTACATGGCCAGGCAAACATCCGTACGAGCTTACACAAACCCAATGATTACTTCCGGTCTGCAGAATTTGCACAAATTCCCCAGAAACAACATCAAAGTTACGTGCTGGGCCTAAAGTGGGCCGCTGCAATCCTTCGATGACTGAATTTTCTTTCTGTAGCAGCACTTGAGCCTGTTGTATTATATCACCAGTAAGCCAACCAGTTGGGCTAAGAATTGTTTGATAATCGCCATCATCTTGTGGGCTTTAAACTGCTGTCTTGTATAAAAGCTTGTCTCTAAGACGAAATATCCAAGCAAATCAGTCGCTTCTATTTGGGGCAAACACTCGGAGTCAAACTGCTCATAAGGAATACTGACAGGGTCAACTCCTACGACTGATATCTTTTCGAGATATCGTCCGTTTACTTGCTTGTCTAAAGCCTTAGCGTAATCTCACAACACAGGAATGTTAAAGGGAAGGGTCTTCAAGTCTTCTTCAGCTTCACCTTCCGTTAAATCCATGATGGAAGCGAAACATTCCACAAAAACCAGGAGAAGGTCGACAAAGATGACTTGCGATTAACATAACTTTCGCACACTGAGGGACACAACTATGGCGGATGCCCATATTTGGAAAGGGCTCTGGCGTCAGGTGAAAATCAAGAATTGATGGTGACTCCATATCTACAGACAAGATGCTCATTCGTTTATAATTTTTCTCGCGATAAAGCAGAACACGAAAGGGTTTGCCTGTTTAAACTAACGTACATCTTTTACGGGGGGGAGGGGGATAAAATTCGAATAACTTCTTTTGACCTGCAAGGCTAGGTTAGAACGTCAAATGAATAAAGGGTGCAAGTTTTTTAAGAACACAGAAAAACTGGAGAGAGGGTAAAAGGTTTTATTTTACATTTCATTAATTTAACTTTTCTTTTGCTGCTCGCTTGGTTAAAATCACACAGTAATTATCATATTGCACTATTATCTGTTGCACTAAGTTAATAGCTTCTGCACTGTGATTATAAAGAAAAAAAGGCAAAGATAGCTGAGGTGCAGATAATTGAACCTATTTTCAAACATTAGGAAACCTCTCGAAAAGTAAACAATTGGGAGGCCTGTCGTCATTCTAGACATCCTGTATACCGAGAAAACAGTAACATGCGCAAAACCAACTGCTTTGATTTACGAGGCTAAAAAAATAAACATCCAAGCAACAAAAAGTCGCCTCTCAGGTGAGGGACGAGTCATAAGTAACCGCCTGGGGGGGGAGAGGAGAGGGATACAGGAAACGGATTTGAGGAGAATCGAGAGGGGATCAGTCAACCCTTACTAGCGTATATTTTCTCTGGACATCGTGCGAATTCTTGAAGCTCTCGTAACTGGGTTGAATCTAGAGGTTTTCTTACGGATGCCGCCTTCTTCAATCATTAAAACCATGGTTTGTACTTGTGTGTATTTTGGCATCATTCAAAAACGCTTCATAGAGAAAATAACTTAACAGAAGATGGTAAGGATAGTTTCAGACTAAGCAAGTCTACAAGCTTTAAGTCAGGACCGGATATGAGTAAATATCCTTATATTGTATCAAACTACACTTAGACTTATGGAATATGATTAATGAATACGTATGATGCACGATCCTCGCAGGCTTGTTTGCTCAATTGGTAGAGCGCTGCACTAGTATCGCAGAGGTCAGTGATTCGAATCCCGTACAGGCCTGATTTTTTTCAGGTCTGATTTTCGCTATTGCTTAAATAGCGCTATCTACTGCGAAGGATCGTGCATCATACGTATCTAATACCGCAGTTCAAAATATATGAACTTCATATATTCCATTGTATCTGATGATTAATGAATGTCAGAAAACACATGCCGTAGTTATTTGGTTATAAGCCGCACTCGGTTATAAGACGCACCCCAAACTTGGCAACTTAGTCAAGCCAAACTACAGAATGGAGGGCCATTGAGGTCCACCTTGTCGGCATGCTTTGAAGAACGAGGCAGAAAACAAAAGGATGCATTGTGATTCAGTGAGCTGTAATTAAGAGGCCCTGTATTCTGTAGTTTTGCCAAGCCAAGTTCCCAAATGGAAAGTTTTGTGAAAATACTCGGTTATAAGGCGCACCATACGCAGTGAAAGGAAATGGCGAAAAACTCCCAGTTCGACAGCTGAATATCAACACGCCACAGAGGATGCAAGTTTCAGTGCACAAAAAAGGCTGGATAGACGGAAAGGGTAGGTGTTATCTCCACAGTGTTTATTCCGAGACGGAACTTTTCGAGTGAGCAACACAAACACGATTCGAGGAATTTTCCGTGAAACGTGGTTCGAACGATTGTTTTGAAGTCATGGATATCATGTTACCGAGCACGTACTGTTAAGAACGTATACAAATTTCCGTTTGTTTGCTTTTGCAGCAGATGTTTGCCTTTGTTATCGATCTTTTGAAGTTGATCAGTATTTTAAAAGAAGTATTCCTTTTTAATTTATAGGAATACACGCAATCTTCGCTACATCTCAGACCAAAAAGCCCTGCTCATGTGGGATTAGTTTCGTGGTCATCTGACAGAGGCCGTATAAGCAACGGTTCTTTCAGAACCACCACAACGGCTCTTTTCAGAGCCACCCTTGTTCTTTTTAGAACCACCAGATCTAAAAAAGTTAATGACCAACAAATAAGTGTTCTTTTCATGTCTTTGTAACTGTAAGTTATGCTAAAATTGTGATGTTAAGACTTTGTTGCGCGAAAATATTCGGTTATAAGACGCACCCCAAGTTTTGAGCAGACTTTGATCAAACAAGGATATTTTCTCGTAAAAAATGGTGCGCCTTATAAGTGAATAAATACGGTAATTTGATTTAAACAGTATCATTTAGGTGAATCTCGGTCTGGTAAAGTTTATTTGTCCTGAGATCGTTTTTCACCATATCCTTCCATTAGATATCCAAGCATTCCCCCAGAGGAGGAAAATACACTTCTAAACTTACAATTGGGGAGTCAGGAAAAGCCAGAAAACGAATAAAAAGAAAGGACTTTATGAAAAAGGACACGGTAACCCTTATCACTGTATACTCATCGCTTAACTCTTTTTTCCCTCATGATTGACCACGCATGACTTCAACTGTAATTAAAAAGCAACAAATTATTAGAAATATTTTAAATGAATTTCGCTTTCTTTTGCTAATCTGCTCAATGATATCTACAAGTTGGATTATTCGATACACGGTTTCGATTCGTAAATGCTTTACCATTCAGTTTTAATTTTGTAGTGAAGTGCTGCTGTGAAGGTTGATCTGTTGTCATCGGTCGTCACCACTACAAGAACTTTTCCATCAGCTGGATCCTTGAATATGATGGTGGGATGAAAACCTTCCTTGTGAAGGTTATTCAGCCAGGGAGTGATGGGAAAACCTTCATCAAACCATTTGTAGTTTTGGCCTGCTGGGGACTCAGTCATCACCAATAAATACTCCCTTAATTTAGGGGAATAACAAATTCCAGTTATTACCATTCCTTCTTCATATCCCCTCTCCACTTCCTCCCTAATCTCGCTCCAATTGCGTTCGGATACTGCTTTTTGTTGCATTTCGTTGTCGCATTCATTTACATCCTTCGTCATAACGATGTAATATTTGGAGTCGCGTGCAGCACATTCAGTTATAAAATATCCAGCGTCGTATCCCTCCCTTATGCCAGATACATCGTTTACTATGATCTGACTTAAGCCGTGACGATGCATTAAAACCACACCAAATCCAAGGTTTTCGTCACAGGCGAGAGAGGATATTATGTACCCGTTTGCAGTAGGTAACATGAAGTCTTCTTCCGAAAAACTAACGAGACCTTCAATAGTCGGTCTTGGCTTGTACTCATTCGAAGGTGCAAAACAACCGTAAAAGTAGCCATCGTGTATACTTTGGCAGATTAGAATATTGTGAGTATTGTTAAGATAGCTCATCAATAAATCTAAGTAGAAAACTGAATCATAGCCGTCGGTAATTGGAAATTTGAGACGGTTCCCTCCGCTGTAGATGGGCTCAGTGTCAGGACGCAGTTTCTTTCCAGTCATGTACAATGTCAGATCCCCACCTTCACCTAAATTATATAAGAACAAATACGTCAAAATATTTAATACGAAGGCTAAAATAAAATTCTTGAAACGTTTTAATTTCCATAAAAAAGTTCTTGCCATCGCATATGTTTCGTTATATGTGTATCTGTTTTATTTCAAGAGGAAAAGCTTCCTGTAACGAATACCGTTCATTGTTGTGATTGCGTGACCGTCAATACCTCCTTGTTTCATGTGACATATCGATTAGCTGTCGGCATTACCTTTCATTCGACACACGTGTAAGTGACAAGCGCATGTACTGGAAATTGATTGAAGGATCGTCGAATATATCATTGTGATAGAACGGAGAAAGAGGTATGTTATATCGTTTGTTCCTTTTATCTAGACCCCGAAATGTACACCATTTAATCGAAAGCAGATTTGTTATGTTTAAGAATACTTGTGCCGTTTAGAATTATATATATGCGCGCTCCGCGTGCTCTAGTTAAAATATTTCAATTAGCATAGATTTATAGTGATTGCTCTATTCCGCTCGTTGTATTTCAGTTTTTACGAGCTCTCAAGTCCAATAAATCCATTGAGAAAGATAGATGCTTGAAGGTTCAGTCACTTATAAAACATTCTCCGATGCGGCGCTGTTAAGAAATTCACAGACCGAAAGAATCGACTGAAGTCAGCGCCCGCCCCGTTACACTTCCTCATTCTTCTTTGCCTATCACGATTCAGTACAATCGTATAATCGACTTGTCAACTGATATGGAAGCTAAAAGGAGTGATGTAGGGCGGAGAGAGGTTGGGCAACCTCTCTCCGCCCTGGTGTGATGAAATTGACTCTACTAGGATAA